CAATTGTTCAAAATATGGGCGGAGGTCTTCCCGGCGAGAGTAGGAAAACCGAGAACGAAAGATGAGGTGCTTAGACAACCGTTATTTTGTAATTTGTGGTTAAATGACTCTCAAGGAAGGCCAAGAACACTTACAGCAAAAGACACCAAATGGGGGAAGTGGTTAGAACATGGTGTATGGCAGGTAAAACATCTCTGGTTAGATAACAAAAGGGGATGGAAAACAGGTAGGGAGCTGAGAGAGGAAATGAAAGGATGTCACAGATTAACGGAAAACCTGAATGACATTCTCATCTCCATCCTGGATGAGTGGACAAGGATATTGAAGGAACCGGACAAATGGCGAGGGGGAGATTGGACAACATTGACCTCTACCAATGAACCAGAGGCAGCCTTTTGTATACGAAAGGAGGTTGGACCTTTTAACCAGTGGGTGGAAGCTGATATGTACACAATACTCTCTCTAGGACTCATGGTAAGTAAGTTGGATAGGGAATCGCGGGTTCCGATAGTCATCAAGAAAAACATCTTGAGAAAGATCAGAGTGGTTGAGAATGAAGAGTTTACGATATTTGAGCCATTGACATCCATTAGAGATCTGGAAATCGATCCAGCAGAGTGGGCATGGAACATCAGGGGAAGTTCGTCAGCAGTAAGCAGCAGAATCAATATACTTCAGTACACCACTAAAGTGGGCTACCGTCTGAGGGGAAGATCATGTCAGTTGGACCAGATTTTGGCAAGAAGATGGGAGAACATAATGGATATACCTAGGGACCAGGTAGAAAAGTTACCATGGTCAACTTTGCACAGCATCGGACTACCTAAGGTCAGGAGTATGCAGTGGCTCATCTTTCACGTAGCACTCCCAGTCAATGTCTGGTTGTTCAATAAGAGAAACAGGATCAATAGGAATGAGGAGGATCAGGACTCTGGTATGTGTACGGGAGGTGTATCGGAAACTCTGATCCATTGTTTGCTCCATTGCCCAAAAGCAGAACATCTCTGGTCCATATCTAGTGCATTATGGGCACATACTACGGAGGTCCCCTTTCCAAGTAACAAAAATTTAATATTGATTGGAAGTGATTTCCCTAAAGGATGGAGGTCAGACCACAAATATATATTTCAACTTCAGAGACAGTACACGCTATGGACAATCTGGAAACGAAGATGTCAACAGGTGGTGGGTAAGACTCTGGTAACAAGAGGGGAAGCCAAGGCAATTCTCGATAATTTGTTGGAGACGGAGATTAGGGCATTGTGGAGAAGAATAAAGAAGCAACTGACGCTTAACCCAAAAAGGGCAAAGGATACCTTATCTAAATTTCACAAGAGGGTATTAGCCCAAGGCAAAGTCGCGATTGTTGAAGGAGAAAGACTTATCTTCCATTGGTTCAAAGAGGAGCACCAGGACGACACTACAGATGTTCAGCGGTCAGCACAGGAACTTAGGCTACCATAAAAATTAAAGTGAGCTCAGCCAAGAAGGAGATGAAACGGAAATGAGAAAGGGGCAAATAGGGTTCAGAATAGCAAAATTTTGATGGGCTTCATATAGGGGATTTACAGTTTAGACAAAACAGGTGGCGTTGCTATCTGCTAGGACTTTTCTCGTTAGTCATGTTTTATATGACGAGTTATAGCATTTGACCAGAGAGGAAAGAATGAAGCAGGGCAAGCTGACAGTCAATCCTCAAAAAAAAAAGAAAAAAAAAAGGAGTTAGGCTGGTCTTCTATTGGTTCCAAGAGGGACAACAAGGGATACCCATGGGGGATCCGTTAGATACCCCGGATCTTAGGCTACCATAGAAAAGGGAGGGGGGCGTTGGAGGGTTTAGGGTTTAGTCAGACCCGTGAGGTAGGACTTAGCGTTGGAGGGTTTAGGGTTTAGGGTTTAGTCAGTTTGTATGGCAGGGTTTGGGGATTAGGGGCTGGGGATTACACAAAGTCAAGGTAAGTGGAGATCAGAATGGTAGAGATTCTAAAGGGTCACGTGGCGATGAAGAAAAAGAAAAAAAAGGAAAGACTGGCACAACTCATAAGCACGGAGGAGAAGGCAGAGTGGACTAGCTTCGTCATAGGTCGCATAATGTTGGAGGGCGTAATCCGATTTTGCATCTTCAGTGGCTTCTTTTACCTTTCTTGCTTTTTATCATTTATCTGACAGGTCATACAGTAGACCTGAGAGGAAAGGATAAAGTAAGGCAAGCTGACAGTCAATCCTCCACGTTGTTGGAGTAATCAATGCGTGAGTGGGTTTCATGATGTAATGTTTTATTCTGACTTGCCGGTGGAATAGGAACCGGATTGATGCTCCCCAGAATGGAAATGGAGCCGGGCCCATAAGGACCTGTTAAAAAAAAAAAGAAAAAAAAAAAAGAAAGAAAAA